ATAGACTAGCAATATATTGAAACCAAAATTATTTTAATATAACATACTCAACCTTTGTAAACTATTTGATAACAGTTCCAAAAAAAAAGTTGTGTTTATTATCAGATAAAAAATAGGCATAATAGCCATGATATTACTTTCCAGTAAGGCTTGTAATGCAATGTACCTGTTTTTTATAGTATGAAGCAGACGAATTTTGAGGCTTGTGCTCCTTACTTCAAGATTAGTTGAGAGATTGATCTCACTTGTCAGAACAATGGATATACTAATTTAAATGTATGTGGAAATTGCAGATTTTACATGTTCACATCGTTATCATATCCCAATCTGACTCAAATCATGCAACCTTTTTTCACTGTCTGTTTGGGGTAGGAGACCTTGATCTTAATCTTTTGATTTGGCAGAAGGCTACTATTACTGTCACTCATCACACACATGATTTTCAAATTTAAAGCACTGATGAAGCTGTGTAAATTACAAATCACATATTTGAAGTTGTTTTAGTTTTATAGTATGTTTTAACGATAGTAGAAGGTACAAAATAAAGACGAAAAATTAATCTTATTAGTAACCTATAGTCTTAATGAGTAGATTTGTAATTCTGTTGTAGCGAACACAATTGGCAGCAGCCACTCCTCCAGCTCCTCCTGTAGTTCAACAACAAAGAATGCACACTCACAGCCCTGCAATGGCTTTATCTCAGCAACCTATGATTCCACCTTTGGGTCATCCAACATTAACCATGCCACCCCAATATATGATGTCATCTCCAGGAAGTATGCCACTTACTCCACAGATTCCACAAGCAGCAGGAGTTCCTCAGGCTTCAAAGTTTAGCAGAAAATGTAAGTTTGTATCAGAATTTGTCTTTAAGGTATCATGAAGAAACATGCTTTTTAAAAAATTTTACACTACAGATAAATCGAACAGAACTTTTATTTTAATCAGCTGATTTAGGGCTAGTACGTTAAGCAGTTATTAAAAATATGTAACACATTGTGCATTTGTAATTGTATTATTTCTGTATAACTTTGGGAAATGCATAATTAGAAAGTTAAAAAATCTGAAGTACAACTGACAGCTTTTCTTGTTAGGTCAATAAGTGAGAGTTGAAAGCTTACCAAACTAGCCCATTCTTCTGGGCCTAGTGAAGTACGACCTTTTTACATTGATAGTTGCTATTTCTGCTTGTGTAGTAGGTGTAAGCAGTACAATAACATGCTAGACATCAAGTAAAATCAATGACTTTTAAAGGTAGTTTTGACTTGCGAGTCTAATTTAAATCTAACAAGTTGTGAAAATCAGGCCATCATTTTTAAGGAGTGTGATCACGCTCGCGCTCTTTCATGCTTCTTATCTTTGTTCAAGGAGTGAAAATAACAGCACTGCTTAAAATTCCAACAGTGGATTTTTTTTTTAATTGTAAATACTATAATCAGCACAGCAAATATGAGGATTTCATTTGGTCAATAGAATGCATTCAACTAAAATAGAGCCAATGAATATCGATCTTACATGAACGTTCACCAGGAAAGAACAGATGTGACACTCAACTTATTTAATCATGAAATGTAACCTCTACACGAGACCAACCAATATCAGTCATGCACGAGATTTTCCAGTTCAGTAGTTTTTGTGCAATGCGATAACTTTTAGCAGCACTGGACGGTAAGTTGTATTTTTTTTGTGGCTTGATTTTGGAGATGAAATAACAAATCAAAGGTATCATCAAAGAGTACTATTAAAAAGAATTTTTGTTCTGAGGAGAACAATTTGCTCTCATTGGTAATTTAGGGAGAACAATTTATAGCTAAAGGCCTGTGATACACTGAAATTGTTTAATTTTATTTTATTACTAGGATCATTAGTTTTAACTTTTTTCATAAAAACATCACTCCCCACAGCTGTTATTACATTAATCAGCAAGTTTGCTTTTAAATCCACATATGTTGTGTTAGATGCCTAATTGCAGGAGTGAAATTGTTATTTCATGGACTGAATACAATAAAATTATATTGACTTTGCTAGTGTGTGCTCATACTGAAATAAAGGTCTGGCTCACACTAATGGTAAGTTAGTTTTTGTATTTAAGATAATTTGTAGTCACTGATATTAGATTTTTTAATGTTTATCTGCATTGATCATACTCCTTAATTAAAGTTAGGGATTTAGTAATTAAATATAAAAGAAACAGTGCACGTTATAAAACTTTTTTTTATTAAATCTTCTAAGCTCTCCCAATGACAATGCAACTACGCCATGATATACCACCATCTGTTCATGTTGCTGCAGCCACCGGTCAACCAATCTTAGCCCCTGCTGCTATTTCAACTCCACCACAGCTTACCATGCCTTATTCCTCTCAGGGAATGATTCCAACAGGAGGCCCACCACAACCTGGCATCTCTTACGCACAGGTAATTTCATTTTGTCTTTGCTATGTTGAAATAAAAGCTGTAGGTTTTTATATCATTTTTTTTTCAATTATTTGTTAATACCTACAAAATTGCACATATTTCACTTTACACAAGTTTTTTCAACTTTTCAGACTTTGTGCACTTAAATAATTTTATAATCCTGATTTGCTGTTATCTGTTAATTTTATCTTGTGGAATAGACATTCCCACTGAAAAATTGTGGAACATTCTAGGTTTAAAAAAAAAAGTATGCACCTATAAACATTTTAAAATAATACAAATTCAAAAAAAAATTTCTTTTATAGACAACTGTTGTTAAATCACTATCCTAGCTTGATCATGGCATGCTTGTAACTTGATAATTTGTTTCAACAAAGCTGTCT